TGCGACCCACAGGTTGAGAACCGCTGCTCTGAACAATTCTGGAAAGCCTCTTCTAGAATTTCCTTCAGAACCAGTTTATGAGCCAATATAGAAAAATAGGCTTATTGCCATATATATATTTCATAAATCCCAAAAGCTAAGGGTACTATAAACAGTGTTATTAAATTGCTGTGGAGTTTATATGAACTTCTTTTTATGACTCTGACCTTCCAATGTATACAGTGAGGTCACTTCTGTAAGAAAATAAGCAAATACTATGTGGGAGGAAAGCTAAATCATCTGATTCTTCATAAAAAAAAATGAGGATATATTCTTTTGGCTAAGAGCAAGCCAACTCAGGAGACTAACCACAGAAGAAGAAGAAAAAGAAGGGTGTTATATCCATCAGTTTTTAGGAGCAGTGGGAAGCACGGCGGACAGAGCTCAAATTTCAGACCCAAGCCCAGGAGTCCAACTCTAACTAGCTGTGCTGGCTTGAACCAGCTCTCTCTCAGCTTCTCTTTCCTCATTTGTAAAAAGGAGATACAAACACCAGGAGTTTTTTTTTCCCTTTATTGTTGAGATTATTACAGAGACCCTCATTCCCCCCCACTGACACCCTCCTCCCTGCTCCCCCACCCACCTTCACCGCACTGTTGTTGTGTCCATTGGTTATGCATATATACATGTAAGTTCTTTGGTTTATCTCTTCCCATCCCCACCCCTTCCCTCTGTAGTTTGTCAGTCTGTCCCCTACTTCCATGTCTCTGGATCTATTTTGTTCATCAGCTTATCTTGTTCATTATAGTCCACAAATAAGTGAGATAATGTGATACTTGGTCTTTCTCTGACTGGCTTATTTCACTTAGCATAATACTCTCCAGGTCCCTCCATGTCGTCTCAAAGGATAAGAGAGCTTTCTTTCTTACAGCTGCATAGTACTCCATTGTGTACATGTACCACAGCCTTCTTATCCACTCATCTACTGATGGACACTTGGGCTGTTTCCAGATCTTAGCTACTGTAAATAGTGCTGCTGTGAACATAGGGGTGTGTATGCCCGGAGTTTTGTGAGGTTTTACTAACGAAGCCCTGGTTTCCGACCCCTCCTCTAATTTTCTCTCATCTAACCCCCTTTTCTTCAGGTTGAAGAACAGGAAGCCCTGAGAAAAGCAGGGGTTAGAGGGCAAGACCCCAGATGTTTTCAGGCTTTAATGGCTTTACCTTTCTTAGCTCTGCACGGACAGAATTCCTGGCTACTTTATCACTCACAGCAAAGAAAGGCTACCCCCCACCCCCCACCCCAGGCTCAAGAGAGAGTCCCAGAACACCCTGTCATTCGGGGAAACAAACAGCCCTCTTAAATACCTGAATCTTTTCCAGAAGATGAAACAAACCCAGCGCCTAAGAGTAGGAGATTGGTTGAACTGTGAGATACAATGGCCAAAGGCACACTCACACGACAATTATATATTGAAGAAGAATATTAAATGACATGTGGAGATGTTCATGATAAATTAAGTAAATATTGCTGCAAAACAGTGTACATATCATGGATTCCAGTCTTTTAAAAAGAACTGATTTACAGAAAAAAACATAGAAGAAAATAAAAATTGTTAATAAATTTTGAGTGGTAAGATTATAGGTGTTTTAAATTCTCTTCTAAACCTTACACAATAAATGTAATATTTGTTAATAACATTATAATAAGTAAATGTGATATAGCATTTGGAAAACAACTCCACAGGGCAGAAATTGTGACTACTTTGCTTACCACCACAGAAAAATGAGTATTTAAAGAAATGTGGGCCTGGCCAGGGTGGCTCAGTGGTTGAGTGTTGACCCATGCACCAAGAAGTCACCGGTTCGATCCCGGTCAGGGCACATGCCCAGGTTGTGGGCTTGATCCCCAGTGAGGGGTGTGCAGGAAGCGGCCAATCGATGTTCTCTCTCATCGATGTTTGTCTCTCTCTCCCCCCCCCTTCCTCTCTCTCTAAAATCAATAAAGAAAAAAAATTTAAAAAAGAAAAAAGAAATGTGGTTTTGTCCCACATGCCAAAGTTACTTATTTTTTCCCCCAAAATTAAGAGTGGGGAAAAAAAATCAATCTGGCTCTTTTTCTGCCCTAGGATGCTCAATGTTGAGATTTAGAGTCGGGAACTTTCACATAATTCAGACCCTAATACTGCAGACGCCTGGACCTGCCACTGGTCTGTACCCTCTTGGCCATTCACTTCCTGACAGTTGCTTCTCTGAGTAGCAGTGAGATCACTAGGGACATTCCTGCCCTATAACCTCTGCAGTGATCCTGGAAAGGGGAGGAAAGCACAGTTTCTTATAAGTAGTTAAAACACTCTACATTCATCATGACTGCAATTGTTAAGAATCAATACCATTTACGGAATGCTTTCCAAGAGCCAGGTATACACTGCATCATCTCATTTAATTTGCACACTGGCCACTTAGGTATTACCCCTATTTCACAGATTAAACACTGGCTGAGGTTAAGCAATATGCTTGAGATTGCAAAATTATTTCAAAATTGCCTCCATTATTCCCCATACTGCTCTGTGAGATGAGGATTCTCCATTTTAACAAGTGGAATGAAAGGGGAGGTGACCTTCAAATTCCTTCTGTGGGTCTCCATGGCTGATCTGTCAGAGCAATTCCAGTCTTTGGTTTCGATAGAGGGGTCCTGTACTTAGTAGGGCAATGGAAGCCAAACATTGGCCTATTATACCGGATTATGAGTGGCAGATTTTAATCTGACCCTGAAGAAGGTAGGGTGTGGTGGGAGACTCGATCCTAGCAGCAAACAACCAGGCCATGATGTGTCCTGACAACTGTTAAGACAAGGAGACAGTCTTATACATAGGGTATAGGACCGACTAATTCTGGAGTTTGCTGGAGGGAGGGAGAGAGCCAATGGCTCTGCCAAGGAAGAAAAGGGCAGCATAGCTTAGGTGAGAGGGTGATGTTTTGATACTTGGTGGACCAGCTCAACCCTACCTACTACAAAAGGATTCTGTGTAAGTAGCTGTGAAAATATTTTGGCCAGGTATGCATGCTATCATAAAATAGTATTTTATTTAGGTCCTGAAATAAGACAATCTGCTACCTAATCTGTAAAGTACAATATGTGTTAATATTGATTTTCTGATATACACACACAATAGAAAGAAAACCAGACAACACGGCTATACTACATTACAGTGTTTTCATTTTTTGTTTGGATCAAAGTGGAACTTCATCAAGAGTTGTTTGAAGTAAAATAGGAACCTGAGACACTGAGGTATTTTCATAGTATCTATACTGCTTACTATAGCAGAATCGAATTCCTCATGGTTGGTCTTAATGCAAGTTAATTTTAAATTTCACAATCTTGATTTTAAAAAATTTACTGCTTTTGGGGTAGAGGCAGGGGAAGCAGCAGAAGAGGAAGCATTTTTCCTAGAATTATGAGCTAGCAACCTTGGGTCCTTGTCCCAGTTCTGCCCCCAACCAGCTACGTAATTCTGAATAAATTTCTTACACTTCAGAGTCCTCACCTGTACAATGAGATTCTAAAAGACAGGTGATGTTTAACTTTGTTAATGTTCTAGGTGACAAGCTAGCATTCCATGGGTATCACTAAAGCCAATGAGCAGGGGCCCTTAAGTGCGGAGTTAAGTATCCCCACATGTGAAATGCTTTAAGGCACTTGTGAATGGCTGTCTTTACCCTCCACAGTATGGATGGTGGGCACTCTGAGTTAGGGAGCTTTGTAGATCTCTGCAGTAGAAAAACTTTCCCCTCACTTAGTCCCTACCCACCATGGAGAAAAGGAAGAGCAAGTGGGTAAGAGTACAGGATTTGGAAGTTGTATTCCTGAGAGTCAAGACAGGAAGGCTGCTTCTCCACTGGGGAGTTAAATTCTGATCTATTAGATCCCAGGAGGAATTGTTATGCTCTAACAAGGGTAAATGGGATACTGAACTAACTACAAACACTGAGGTCTCAATGAATTCAACACATATTGTTTGCCACAGAATTAAAAATGTGGAAGGATTATCTTTTCGCGTTTATGTCGAATTATGCTGAGGACCTGCTTGGCAGTCACAAAACTCCCGGACTTGTCATGAGGATGAATTGGGAAATCCTCCAAAGAAGACACTGAACACTAGGTAGGACGGCTTCTAGAAACCAAGAAAGGGAATTCCCCACGTGGTCCAGCAAACATACCATTCCTTCTCTTTCTCACCTACTCAAAGAAAAAGTTCTGACATTTATGCTTCAAAGGCTGCTGTGCTAGTTCTAGCCTCTTAGAAACTTCTAGGGCCTCGTGACAGGCTTCGGGTATTTTTACAGGTTGTTCTTGTTCGGCTATTGTGGCCTCCAAATATGTAATCCTCTTCATCCCACTCCATCCTCCCTTCATCTGGTGTATAAGCTTTAATGCATTCCATTAAATTCCATTTTCTCTCCCAACCGAAACAGTGGCAGGGATTTGCCTACGGGGAATCCCTATAAAAACGCCAAGAGAAAGTGCGGATGAGCTACGGCCCAGAAACCCGGCACTTTGCAGGCTTCTGTTTTCATCACAGTTTGAGACTTAAAACCAGGAGAAAAGCAGGAGCTTTCCTCCGCGAGGGCTGCCCACCTTCATCCCGGGTTGAAGTCGCTCCCAAGAGTAAAAAAGGCATCATCTCATCACTTCCAAGACTCCGCCGACACTTCTCTACACTGGCAGGTACTTTTATTATGACGCGAAATCCAGCACCTCAGCGAGTCAAGAGCTCCCCGCGCCTGAGGTTTTTCCTTTGGGGTCGACGCTCCCGGCTTTATTTTTCTACTTCCCCAGACTCAAGCCCGCCCACCGGCGTCGAAGCCAGCTTTTTACTGGTCTGGACGTATGCTCATCTCCGCAGCGAGCCAATCAGAGCTTCATTTTCTACCCCAGGGATTTGGGAAACGGAAAAGACCACGACCTGTTCCTGGGAATAAGGCGGGGCCGTCACTGAGTGACATCCAGACCCTCCAATAGGCAGAGCGCTAGGACCTGCCCCTTTGGCGCCCGGGCTAGAAAAGAGCGTTGATGCCGGCCGCAGTGATGAGTCCTAGGCGGCGCTGCTTGCTCAGCGGCTCTGCCGAGCGGGTGCTGCTGGTGGCCTCTTTGCAGGTGAGTGGTTTTGTTTTAGAATATTGCTGTTGAGAACGTTTCCATTTTTGAATGCTGTGGTGGTTTGCTGTGGCGTGCAGGAGGCCAGTACCTTTACTCCCCCGGCTCGGTCTTTGAATCTGGCGCTCGCTGGTCCGTCCCACAAGCGCCAACCCGCACGCATCGCCCAGGTCCCTCTCTGCTGTCCCTTTCTCCGAATGAGCCTGCCTGGGAGCCACAGATCTGTCAGCTGACGGGAGGACTCGCCTCGGTAGTGGTGTCTGGACGACGAGAATAAGCAGGAGTCGAAGGGAGGGATGATCACCTCTCCTGGACGCCTGGCAGAGCCCCTTCTCTGGTAGGGCTCCTGGAAGGAAGCCGAGTGTCTTGGGGGCCATGCCACTATATTTGGGGCGATGGCAGACCTGGCCCTCAAAGTCCAAGTAGACAGAAAGAACCTGAATGGCATGAAAGAAGAAGGAGGTGAATACCTCCAGTGGTTTCACGTAGCGCTCAAATCTGGAGCCAAATCACAGGTTCTTAGAACCACTAAAAATAAAAAAGTAAGTGTATTTCTCCTCCTTTCAAAGGTATGGGGCACTGCATTACTCCAGAAGGGCAATGGAAATGCATAAGGGAAGTAAAGTTCACAGTTGAGTTTTGAAGGGTAATGGGTTGTTAGCTAACTCCCATTCCCCAACCACCTCCCTTCCAAATTATGGAGGATTTATAGCTTGTGAGTGGTACCAGAATGTTAACTGACGAATGCAGAATTTGGAGAAAAAAATCTAATACTCTCTTTCACCATTAGCTACTAAGGCTTTCCTTAGTGAAAGCCGAATGCACCTCAATGTGTCTTTTCTTTTAAAACTGACTTCCCTGAGGCCAGGGACCAGGTTTTATCCATTTCTGTTTTCTTGTAGCCCTCACACCATAGATGCTCCTCAAATGGTCGTGGAGTTTAGAGAAGCATAATTCAAACAAATGGTGTAGTGGAAGGAGCTCTGAGTTGCAAGTCTAGACACCTAGGTTTCAGTCTTGAAACTGTTGCTATTTGTGTGATCTTAAACAAATCATTGCAACTCTCTGACTCTTAATTTTTGCATCTTTTAAAAGCAGATGTTGCCTTAGATTATTTCTGAGGTCCATGCCTGTGTTAAAGGTCTGTTTTAAAATGAAGATGATTAGACATTTTCCACCACAAGTATATAAACAAAATCTCATTGCAGTAAATTCCGTACCAATCTGTTAGCAAATAAAAGTTTCCAGCTGTGAGGGTAGTACTTGTTCTCGTGTCCATATTTCTCATGGGAGAAACTTTGGTCATTTTACAGACCGACCATTGTACGGAGGTATAATGTAGTAGAAAAATGTCATTTTTGTTTTATTCCGTCACCCAGAGGCAACCACTGTTAGCGTCTGGGTAGATCTTTCTGTCTCTCTTCCATTTTTGCTTCCTACAGTTGTTTGAAATTAAGAGGCACCCTTCATTTTAAATAATGACTGATAACATCTGAATTCAGCCATGCCTTCTCTTTGTGTGTCTGGTGCCCAGAGAACAGAGGACACCCAAATGTTTGAACTGATGGGTCTTTTGAACATCCTTGGAATGAAATCTGGTGGAGGGAGTGTTTATATGGAGAAATGGGACCAAAAGAATTGCTTAATAAAACTCTTTCACTGTAACTCAGCCGCAAATGTGGAAGACAGATACTTTATAAAATGTAAATTAAATGTTAGCCACCTCATTAAAGCATTTGGATTATAGAATATTGCTTAATATTTGGTATGCTTTTGGAACTGTATCTTACCATCAACTTTACTACCCCCTCCACCCCTTCGCCAACCCCCCCCCCCCCACACACACACGATTTGATTTCATTCTTCCTTTTACTGCCTAATTTAACTTTTTCTCTTTACCTACCCTCATTTTCCAGCTTTTGCTTCATGCCATCAGCAAAGTAGGATCACCTTCAGGGGCCTGAGGTCTCTCCCAGGCTTCACAAGTTAACTCAGGTGTGCTCCATTCAACCCAAGAACACTTCTCACTTTTGGGTAGAGTGCTTCACTGTCATCTCATTTAGTCTTCCTAATAGCCCCTTGAAAACAGTAATTTCATTATCTTCATCTTTATGGATAAGGACCTTGAAGTCCAGAGAATTTAAATAACTCGGTCAAGGTCACACTGTCAGTAAAGAGCAAAGCTGGGACGGATATCCAGGTTTCTTGACCTCATACTTTTGGGATTTGGTGGAAATAGACTGTGTTGACAAAAGCTACTACACCGGGGAAATAAGTAACCAGAGATAGGAAGGAGGTGTTGTGAGTGGGAGCTGTGCACATTGGTGATGCCATGCAGCCTGGGACAAGCAATGTGCCCAGGCAAGCACACATCTCATTACGTATACATATCTCTTCCCTGTGAATAGAGGTCTACCTGCTATGGTTTGTTCCCTCTGTGCCAAGTGATCTGTCAGGGTTGTCTGTCAGTAGATGTAAAGTTGGAGAATGGTAGGGTAATAATAGTGCCTAGAAAACACCTGGAAGTGATAGTTGGTGCTCCAGGTAAACAGGTGTTCTTATAATGCAAATACAAATGGCAAAGTTACTCTAAAGCTCTAGGAAAAGCAGTAGATGGTGGTTACACTAGGTACTTTTGGGTAGTCATGTTTGAATTGTTAATATTGGGCTTGATTTGGAGGAAGGCATATTTTGTTAAGACTCCAAGGAACTGAGCTCCAGATTTCATTTTCCTTAAAAACTGTTCCTTTTTACTTTATCAGAAACATGGTTAACCTCTCTCTTTTTTTTTTTTTCTATATCCTCAAGTATATAGCCAGCCTGTCTTCTGTAGAGTTAGGTTCCTAATGCAGTGGCGATTGAGTTACGCATTGATGATTTGGACCAGGGAAAACATCTTGAGTGGTTTACAGTTGTATTTGAATGGTTAATATTTAAGGGTAAGCTTTGGATCAAAGCAACTCTTGCTCTGTATCCCTTATTTTCTGTTACTTCAACATTCTATCATTGATCACACTTCTTATTTAATTGTTGGAACCAAAGTGGAAAGCAAACTTAGTTTGGGGCTGGTCTTTATCCTGTAATTTTACCCACCTGTTCATGAGTTGCCCTACTAGTGTATTAGGCATTATGCGTCAAACACCTGAGTAAGGGAGGACGCAGTGTCCTAGGAACATTAGTTTGGGTGACAGGACAAGCCTCAGTTAAGGTGGGGATGGAGGAGGTATGTGAAATTATCTGGTTTAATAAGGGGCGGGAGCAGGAGGCAGCAGCAAGATTGTTATGCTGCATTTATTGAAACTACCTGGAGATTCTGGAGATAATGTAGAAGTAACCTGGGTAAAGGCATTGCCTTGTGTGTGCACCAGTCCCTTATCTACCTGCCCTTTTCATCTCTGCCTTGTCAAAAGCATGCTAATTTTGAAACATAACTTCAGTTTCAAGGTGGCATTTATGGAAAGTATTTTTTCTTTATAGTCAATTTAGATGATATATATATCTCGAAGGGTATTTGAAAATGTAAGTCACTTGCAAAGTGTGTTTCTTTTGAATTGCCTATCTGTTTCCTTATTGGCAATGCAATTTCAGAGCGCCTATTCTTGGGCAAATATACGTTCATTTGAAGTGCGAGGCACCATGGCAATTTACAAAGATGTCTAATAGAGGTAAAGCTTGTCAAAATGACAGATTGCCTTTTTGAAGTTGGTGAACAAGATGAATAATTTTTCTTTATAGTGTTTTCTTTAACCCTTTATTAAATAATCCAATTAAACAAAAGTAAACTACTCAGACTGATTTAAAATGTTCTCAGTGTTATATTCTGGGAGGAACGAATACAATTATGAATGGGATTCCATTACTCAAGGTACTTGCTGTTCTGGCCAAGAATAAAATCAGGTGATATAATGATGTTGGGATTATTCTGTGACAGGATGCTTAAAGCTTCAAAATGGTGCTGTGGTTAGTAGATCAGGGTATGGTATCCTGCCAGGCCAGGTATTGGCAAATTAAGGTCTTCTGGCTCACTTCCTGCTCTCGTACAGTCCACAAGCAGTGAGTGGGTTTTTAACGGTTGAAGTAAATCAAAGAATAGCAATGGTTCGTGTGCATGAAAATTATATTAAAGTCAGTGCTCATACATAAAATTGTATTGGAGCACAGCCTCGTTTATTCAGCTCTGTGCTGTCGGCGGCTGCGTTCAGCTACGATGGCAGAGTGTAGTACCCTATGGCACAACAGACCTTAAAACATTACCATTTGCCCTTTTACAGAAAGAGCTGCCAGCACGTGAGCTGGGCTGTCATGTGTTTCACCTTCATCTCCATCCCGTTTCAGCGGCCATCATTTCAGTGCAGGTCTTCATTGTACGTTCCCAGAATAACTGCAAAATCCTCACAAGTATTCGTATCCCTGTTTTGTCCCATATCAAACTGTGTTTGTGAATGCTGCCCGAGTCTCCTGAAATACACAGTATTAAACCTTTAACGATGTCCCAGTATTTATAGAAGAACCTACATCCTTTGGCACACGCCCTGCTGCAGTCATTAGTCAGTCTTATCTTTCTAGGCTAGTCTCCTACTTCCGTCTTATACCCTATACTTAGGGTGATCGTATAATTTTCCAAATGGAACAGTCACGTGTGAAAGGGGCCTCGATAGTAATTATGCTGAGGAAATGGGCCTAAAGCAAGATTGCTCTAGGCAAGCCTGGATGTAGGGTTACCCTGCCTGGTCTCCAGTCAGTTTGAATGGGTCACCATTTTCCATATGCATCTGTTCCCTTGCCTCTACCTACTGTTCTCTTAGGCTAGAGAACAGTTCCGTTTTCCTTTTTCCATAAATATGAATCTTAAACATCTTTCCCAATCCAGTTTAAATAGGGCCATGTCCATGAAGCCTTATTCAGAAATAATCTCTGTTTTTTTCACCTCCCTTATGAATGGAGTGTTGTCTCATGATGTGGATTACTTTCTGCTTTAGTAACACACACACACACACACA